TTATCCCACATGTATAGCGCTACCCTTCAACGAGTACTCGTTTCGGTCACCTTTTATTGACCACCAAACTTCGTATATCCCTCCTGATATGGGTGAAACGCGTCACGTGTTTTCCTTTGGTTTATTCATATACGAAGCTAAGGGATTTTGTCATTCTGGTTGATATTTTATAATAAAAATGAATAAATTTGAAAGGATCTAAAGCAATTAGAGGGTTCATAAGTGCCTTGAATTTAATATAAAAAAATATTTTTCTAGAAAACAAATATTAGAAATTAGAGATTGGAATTTAGAAATTAAATTAGGATTAAAAAATTAAATTAGAAACCTATTATCAAGAAAATATAAAAACTGTAAAATATATAAAAATTCTGAAAATTTACTGTGAAATGTCAACGAGATAAAACATTCAACGTTGGCTGATTTTTCAAACACTGTCGTCGGTAGCAAACAAGGTATAAAATAAAGATAAAATAGTGAACGTGCCGGAAGGGGACACCGTAAGATCTCCGGTAGGAATCATGAGCGATGCCAAGGAAATGAATTACACAGACGGTAACCAAGAAGCAAGAGGGTTGGGGGGTACAAACGAACAGAAACGACTCCCTTGGGGAACTCGAAGGGAGAAGAAGTTCGTTCTTCCCTTCTGGAACCGAGATCCTCACTCTGTATCGTGCAACAGGAGATTAGAGCCGGAGAATTCTGAGAAAAGTATGTACTTCCTATATATCTGACCTGTTCTTCCTGCGGGAACGACGTCTCTCGGCTGATTTTACGCGTACGTTTCACGAAAGTATGACAAAAGTTCACTTTACACGTGCTGTGTTGTCGCAAAGCAGAATTAAAGTTAAGTAATTAATTGTTTACAACAGGTAATTATTTTTCGTCGAAATATTATACCGTCTGATTACTTCGTTTCATATTTAATGAAAGTTATAACGACTTTTCTGTTATCTCGATTTCATTTGAATAAATTAACTTGTCTGATGTTATTAGTCTCCGGGCGACTTACTGATAAGATAAGGTAAATTAACTTATACCCTACAAAATAAAAAATAAAATAAAATGTACGGTTGTGAAAGTATAATTCTTTGGAAAAACTTTAGTATATTAAAATTCTGAATACAAATTATCTAATGATAGAAAAGATGACACACCATTTTATAATATTTACACAGTTAATATTTTAATTAAAGGGGTATATCCTGAAGCTTAAAATGAAAAAATCTAAACTTGAAATTCAAGAAAAAAGTAAATAAAAGAAATTATATGAATCAGAAGAAATCATTAGTTTAATTTATACAGGACAATTCATATCTAATAAAATTCCGATTAATAAAATAAATTTAACATCAAAAGTTCTGTCAATTTTGAGGTAATTCCTCTATTCTTTTTAGAAAAAATTCGATCTGAAAATTTAGTAATCAAAGTCAATCCGATAACGTGTAACTTTCATTCTCACGTAGCAAGCTGGAATTTAATTACGCGCACTTGCACCCCTTGCGCCTAGTTCAAGCTTCGGCCTGTTTAAATAATCAATATTGACGTAATAACGTGGAAACGTCGATATCCGTTCTCCAGCAACCGGGAAACGGAAGATTTCCACCAGGGTATCCGTGCGCAACACCGTTGAATAATAAAACGGATATCGTGGAAACGTTCGAAGCGAACAAAAAGAGTCGAGAAGAATGTTACTCTTCTTCTAACTCCAAACATTTTCTTACCCCAATTCTCCAGCCTCGTCAATATTTACCCTCAACGAATAATTTTCCTCCTCTTATCCACAGAAAGCTAGGGAAATGTTAATCATCGAAGCGTGTAATATTCGTATTGAAGTAATTTTGATTTTCTGAATTTTTTCAATTTTTCATTTTCCACTTTGTGTTTTTGCTTTTTTCAAATTTGTGAATATGCACCGTCAGATTTGAAAGGAAAGTACTAGGACCAAAAATAATTAATCTTATAATCAATCGTCTGAAAATGTAAAAAAGGTGAAGAGAAAAAGCAAATTAATATAATTTAATATATTGTATGAAAAACGTTCAAAAATAAATAAAATAAGATCTTATGAATTTTTACTGAAAGTGGCAACAAATAGTGCACCGTCAAAATTAATACAGCTTGCCCAATCTAGCCCTAGAGTTTTAGTAGTAGAAGTAAATCGCAACTTATAATTAGGATTTCAGTAGTATAGGTCAACGCAGGATCAGACTATCGAAACCAGAATGAATCAGAAGGATAATTTCCAAAGTAATTTTATTATTTATAACAAAATTGAACTATTACTTTTATAATATTTTATTAATTCTATTATCCAAAATTTCAAGTACTTAATACAAATATTTCTAATTAGATAAACGAAAGAATTTCTAATACACGATGGAACAGCAGTGAACGTGTTAAAATTTTGCGAATTTCTTTAGAAATCCACAAAAATATTGAAAACCAATCACGATACATTCTGCTGCATAATAAAACAACTCCGTTCGAGTACACTTTATCTTGTACCAATACACACGAAGCCTCTTTCAGAATCGGAAAAGGAGTAGGATCAAGGAGAAACGCGGCAACAATTCAAATCGCTATTGAATTCGAAAAGCTGCAGAACCCTGGCCAGAGATTGAAGCAATATTTTTCTTGAACACGTGCCGGAGAAACAGAATAAGAAAAGAGGAGAAATTGTGGACGAGGCTGGGTTCCAGCATATGGCTGGATAAGCGACGCCGACGTAATAACGTCTAGACGAGTTCTAGGGCTTTGATAAAAGGGTTCGATGTAAAAATTAATCCTATCTCTATTTTTTTTATCAATATTCTCTATGCCGTTGGCTTCTTTGTCTAAAAGGTCTTGTCTAACGAACGCTCGTGAATCACACGCGTCGCTAAAGTCTAGAATTATTAAATTCCAGAGCCGGCCTCTGTCTGAAGAAATTAAAACCGGAGTATGCCGCTTTCGTGTGAAAATGAGGAATCACCTGGAATTCTAACAATGTTCTTTTGATACAGATTTGCCTGGCTATGAATGATTAAATTTTGTTTACAGGCTTTTACGTGAGAAATCTTTGTTAAAAGTGTAAATGCTCTGTTTGGAATAATAAATGAAACTTTATGTTATGAAAAATTCCTAATTTTTATAATGATGATACACATCTGGGAGTTGTTGAATATAAGCTCTAGGACATTTTCTGTTTCTGTCAAGTACTTGGCGCCTGTAAAGGGCTACTGGATTACTTGCTGACATTTTCCAATTGCTCATTTTGCGGCCCTGGTAATCCCTGTTGGCGACAGGGCTTTTTGCCGCGTCGCCTCAGCTCACGGCACACGATTACCACCCTTTATCGTCTTCGGGGTTAACGATACGTGATACAAGATCAAACATCGATAATGGACACCCCGTTTCTGACAGCGTAAACCGAGATACGTTTATCTCCATGGACGATCAGTTGACGAGTTCTGCTATGTATCGTGTTAAACCGGAAGTTAAACCGATTTGTGTTAACACGCTGCTTGCCAACGACTTCGTCAGTGACGATCACTGCGGTTAACGATGAACGCTGAGTCAATGTTGATTCAGACTGAATGATTTGAATAAAATTAGGCATAGTTTGGAATAATATAAAGTGGAAAATTGAAAGTTTGAAAATAAAATCACTACAGCAAATACCACTAATTATCAATTGCATATTAATCCACTAATAATTTTTCATACTATTATCATGTCTACAAGGATTTTTCAATGATTTGTTTCGAGCTTCTGAACGAGGCAAAAAAAGGTAAAGAACGAGTAGAAGCGAATTTTTGAAGTACAATTAAAACTCCCTCTACTCAAAACTTTTCACACAGACAGCCTTTCATTTTAATTTCGCTAATAGGCCTGGGAACGATTAATCCGAGATATCGTTACTTTATACTCTCTCTGCGTTTCATCCAGGAGCCTTTTAAATTGGATTCTCAAAGGGTATGATTGAATTCTCCTTGTTGCGTTTCATACTTTAATCAAATTTAAGAAGATTATAAAAAGGTACGGTAACAAACTCCTGGAAAATGATCGTAGTAAAAGTAGCAAAGAGAATAAATTGAGAGTAAATTATTACTCGACTCTGCTAGAGAATTTCTGACTATATGTCGACTTATACTACTGAAATTCTAGATAGAAGCTTATTTTCTTGTCTTCTGCAGACTAATAGCCCTATAAATTAAGTAGATATTTTTTTCATTAAAAAAATTAAAAATTAAAAAAAAGAGAAGTCATAATAACTGCAGTTATTAAAATGGTTCTGGTGGAGAAGGTCTGATTATACATTGACTTATACTACTGAAATTCTGAAAGGACTTGTTAGGTAAATAGTAATATATTTTTGCTACTATAACAATTTTACCCCTTTCATAGATTTTCGTAGAAGAGGACTACAAGAAGAAAAGAAAACAATCTATTTTGTTTACAAAATTCAGCACAATATAGAAAAGAAAATTTACATTTTCTCAATGCTAAAAGGAAATTTATCGCACCCCGTATCGCGGAATAAAAATGAAAATTGCCAGGATTATTTCCCAAGGTATTTATTAGGCTACAAAATAAGAATCATAGTGTCCCGTCCCCTCGTTTCACGTGGCAACATTTCTCGCGATAAAGCCGCAACGACTATGGCGTCGCTTTTGACCCGCCGCCACCGAAAGCTAGAACGTGGCTGAACAATAAAAATAACCGTAACCGTATCGTGGCACTTGTGCGTGAATTTATTACGCGGACGTGTACGTGGCACACGCCTCGTCTCGAAACTTCGTGCACATTAGATTACGTCAACGAAGAGTAGAAGGATAATTCGACGACGTCTTAAGCCACGAAGGGAACGAGAACCACCGTCTATAACTTCCCGGTCCGAAACTTCCGGACTGAATTCGACAAACAATGAACTTCCTAACACGTGAACTTTGCATCGCTTGCGTTCTACACGAACATCTCGATGACAATTCACGCAGCTAGGCGCTCTGATAGGTTAACAGCTAACTGATTAATCTCGTTTCAACGTCGAGTTTGCCTCCAATGGAAATCTCGTGGGAAAAACTGGCGTATTCAATGGGAATTGTTGGAGCACATATCAGAATCACATTCCATATTATTCAAGAAATTTTAAGCTTCATTTAAATGGTATTTTACATAATTATTATTTATTTATTTATTTTAATTAAAGTCGCATCGACAACGAGGGTCATTAGCGACTTAGCCTGAAAAGACCTACAATGTTGGTGGTACATAATAACATAAATGAATAGTGATTAACATAATATAAATATAAATATGTATAACATATTACATATAATGAACATAAGGTTCATTAATTCGGTGATTGACGTGAAAATATTATTTTTAGTAGTCTATCATAAACTGTTAAGAATTTAAACTATATTTTTTTTCTTGTTGAATTAATTCAATGCAATATTAAAGGAATAAAAAAGATATCTTGTTTCGTTGCCAGGAAAATCCAATGAAATTTAATTAAATTTCTATAGAAATACCTGTTTGTTATGCATTAAAACTTGACAAATATATCTGTATTGTTACAGTTGTTCAAACATATCGAAACTCGATACACCTTTTTAATATATTCTCTAACGTGATTTCGTGGAAAAAAGTCATCAATAAATATCTACTGCTATGTTTGAAATGAAGTATACGCGGAGTTACACAGACCAGAAATCAATTGAATTGATTTGTTTTATTTTTGAAATTTTCCAATAAATTTGTGTTATACGAACTTCTATCCATTTTCGATGGAAAATAATTAATCAGTTTAACGTAATCCTTTCATATAATTTTTTATTTATTCTGGCTGGTTAAATAATAAAATTGGAATTTCATATAATTAATAATGAACCAGCTTAATTACCCGAAATTTAATAAATTTCATATAATTAATAACGAACCATCTTAATTATCCGAAATCTAATAAATTCTATGAGAATGTCAAACTCACGAATATAATATTATCTTTATTAAAATCTTCCAAATCCTCCTTCAAACTATGTCTCAGATTACATGCAGCTAGGATACCTTACAAATAATTAACCGTATCAATAACCTGGGAGATAATCCTAGTAATTTCCGGCTAATTGATACCAGACACAAAATTGTCGACGTTAATGCACAGTCATAATATTTCAGGCTCGTTAAACGTGATAATGCATGTCGTTCCCTCAAATTCTTGACAATAATTTCGAACTTCGCACGGGCTCGATACTCGTATTTACGGATCATATTTAATACACTCGAGAGCCTCTACCAATTCGATGCGATATCGTCATCTACTCTGGGAACATGTAAAGTCGGTGAATAAATTTAATACACATACACGAGTCGAGTATCTTTTGATGAATTTTTAGGTCGTTCAAATTCGAACGGGATGCTTCTTAATGCGAATAAGCTCTCGAGACTTTATTGGATACCTTGATTCTTAATCCTTTGGCTTATCACGCCGAGTCACGGGTGTGTCATAAATTATGGGTCAAATACGAGAAGCGAGGACTTATATTTAAGGTAATTTTATCGAGGTCGAGATAAAATTCAGGATTTATGAAGAATTTTATACTATTAATTATATAAATTTGAAATTCAAAGTTTTAACCCTCTCATGGGGGAGAATATATATTTCTGATGAGTAGTGAGTGAGATTCATCGTTAAAGTGCAAAGGGTTAAAATATATTAACAGAAAGGAGGATTAAACTTTGCTGAATCGCACAGGCTGGTAATTTTATACACTTCAAAACAGTAATTTAGACCGCACGTGTTTAAATTAATTTTGAACGCACTACGTCTTTATGATTGTGTCGAGAGATATAATTCTTGTTATAATCACTTGAGCGTTACGTCTGACCGTATACGATCCTGTTTCACTTGCTCACCGCGCAAGCAGAGATTACAACACCTTATATATTACGTTCATTTCTTGGAGGTTCATTACTACGTATTTTATCGCAAATTAAAATTATTCGCGTTCAAATAAAACATTGATACGAATAATCAACGTTAATCTACAGAGTACCAGGACACATCAAAATATGAATAATTAAAACACTATCGGTTAAAATTAATAATATTAATACAAAACATGGAGGGAAACATGTGTAAAATATAAATTCACTAAATAATACAAAAATAATTGTTTCCGTGTTCAATATTAAACAGTCAATAATGAAACTGTTTCGCGCGCGCGCGTATGTGTGTGTGTGTCAGAAAATGTCAAAGTCCTGACGTTGACAGAAATATCGTCCAATTTCAACCGAAGCAGGAACAAATAAAAATATACGGACATATATTTTTTACGGTATTTCGTACGAAACTACGTGCATCGTTTTAATGATCGTGACAATTTTAACAGTCCACTGCTGGTACCGTTTTCATATTTTTGTTCGTGAATCTCGTCCAATAGTACGATAAACGAGTTGTCTCAGTACGATACAGTTATATGCATATGTATATTAACAAAATCTTGATTACCGTGTGCCAATTACGTGTTTATACACGAAGAATATGCTTCGCCAAATTAAAGCTTGTGATTTTGAGATAGAAAGAGAAAGAGGTATCAACCGTGACTTAAAATTATGAAATATATAATAAGAATGTGTGAAATATAATTAGATGGTTAACACGTCGACTGCCACAGTGAAAATGGGCAATTGTTGTGGGACTTGTTGAAACTCAAATTACTAAGAATAGGAATACTTAATTTTCAAATTTCAAGTTTCAAGCTTTCTATTTGTTGTTTTATATTATTTGTACAATAGCAATATTATTTAAAATAATGTTCTTCTATTATTTTCATAGGTATTCAACGTGTTAAATTTTACAGTGAAAGATTTTTATGTATCAGAAAAATATATTACAAAATTAAATTGAAATTATTGATCCGCTATTTGAGAGTTAATTGAATTATCCTTTCAGTTCCTATTAATTTCCTCATTATAGTTCTCTATAATAATTCTCTGCCCATTCCTCAGCGGTCCTGTTCAAGCTTGATACACTCAGGAACCTAATATCGTTACAATACCCCAGCAACATCCTCAATCGATGTGCAATTCAATATCTTATCAATGGATAGCAAAGCAGATGTATCCTGTTCGAGCATACAAATATGCTCCTTTGAATTATTCGAGGTAACATTATTAATCCAACGAAAGTTTGGCTGCTTTGAAGAGGTCTTTGAAGCCACGCTCCTGCTCGTAAAACTTTTATTAAAGACCCGAGACGATCATTTCCTTCTTATCAGAAGACTAAAGAGCCTGGATAAGGATTCGAAGAACGATCAAAGGGCAACCTAAATTTTGCATACGATCAAGAGCTTACAAGGATGAAAAACAATTCTTGCTTAATTGTAATTTTTAAGGAATTTGTATTTGATAGAGTTTAGAAGATTTCAATTTTTTAAGGTAGGTCTACCTTCTTTTTTTGAATTGGTCGATAAGAGAAGACCAGTTGTGGAATTTATAATTAAAATTTAAAATTAAGTACAGAAAATTTTAAATTGCTATGAAAATTAAATTATGAAATTTCTAGTAAAACAAAAGTTTCAAGTCTCGACCATTTTTCTTTCTCTTCCAAGTCGATCAATCCACTTTTTAAATCTCTTGTCAGAAATTAATACTTTCCGTGGTCGTTCGTTGGAGGGTAAACAGTCATCGTTACTTTGAGCAAAGAATTTTTCATTAGCCTGAACCGGGAACGCTTTTGCCGTAGCTATACCGAGCCGGATGAGAAAGTAAATAACCAGCGAACCGTTACTTCCGGCATGGCTCGTAAAGAAACTCGCTAACTATTTAATTCCATTCTTTCGCGAGCCCTGTTAAATTTTCATACGCGACGTCACGTACAGGAGTAGGGGGATCCTTGCCGGCTGCATAAACGAGTTTCATAAAGGAACAGCTCTGAGAAATTGCGAAACATTACAGAGTCTCTTTCGCAGAGACCTTGTCATGGCTGTCGCATCTTTTTTCAAGCTGCTTCTTTCGCCACCGACAACCCCTCTATTCCTTCCAAATGGATTCCAGTTCAAGCGGAATTCGTTACGAATAGATGATCAATTTTTTTTTAAATCGATATTACAAAAATGAGGACCATTTATTGCAAAATTACACAAATTAAAAATTACTAATCAAAAAAGTTCTAAATTAGACAATTAATTAAATTTGTCTACCAAGAAAATTCTTATGTATCAACTGTTAGAGTGAAAATAATTTGAAATCTGAAAATAGTGTTCTTGTTCTTTAGAAATTAATTTTGCCAATGTTCACCCAACTTTCTTGTACGAAATGGATATAACGTGTTTGTTCGTCGAATAATTGTTTAGCATAGCCGAGTACGTAGAGGACAGGGAATTGCGCGTGAATAAAGTTGAAAAAGTTCTCATCGCCAGCTCGGAGTAAAAGGAGAAGAAAGCACTCGAATCTCACACCTGTGCGCTCCATTGAAAATTCTCTCTTCCAACTTTTTGATCGTAGTCATTTCTATAGCTACTACAGCCCCGAGACACGCTATGAAAACGGCTCTTTCGAGACGCAACATTTGCTTATGCAAACTATCCGCATCGTATCCTACATCCAATTCCAATTTTCTTCTGTGATGTTATTCGACAATTACATCATAATCGTACAAATATCAATAAAGATAAACTTGTCACATTATTTTTTCAATTATACGACCAGAGTTTGATTCTCTATCTTGAAGTATATAAAATAAAAAATTATAAATAAGCTGAGAAAAACATGATATTCATAAGCATTTTCTATCATTTTATTTTTTATTCCCAATTTTCAATTTTTGATATAATATAATTCAGAAACTTTATTAATGAGTTATTCACAGAAAATTACTATTTGCACTAATTAATAAAGTAAATGAGAAATTTTTCAATATCGAGCAAAGTGCAACGAATAATAAAATACTGTTAAATAAATCTTCTACATTTTATCTCCGTAGCAGAACGAGAACGACCCAACATTAGTGCGAGAATTGATAGCATTAGAAGTGGAGGTATCGAGCGGATGTTTTTCAAAGAAAAGCATTCTAGTCTTTTTGTTTTCCCTCATAATTATGCGGGTACTGGGAGGTGTGGCAATGGGTAGCAATAAGCCCAAAGGAATAACTCTTAGCCGAGCTAACAAACGGAATACAGAAAACTGGGACGCGCTTGTACCTCGTTCAAATATTCATTCTTCTTCGGTGCCACGCGGTCAAGACTGACTTCTATTCTCGAAAATAATTTATATTCCACTTGAAGCATGTTCGCCGACAGAAATTTAACGAACCGAAAATTATATCCGCGGTCTCTTTTAGGACAAACCTGAGAAAAATAGGGGTTGGACCGGTTTAAGAATTACTCGCCGTTCTTTTCATCTTTTGTTCCTAATTCACTGTCAAAATCTGTTGATTCCATTAATCTTGTGAAAAAACAAGATTTAAATTTAACAATTCAACAGGTTTCTATTTGATTGTTTTAAGGGAATTATTACAACGAATATTTGTAGATTAAAAGATTATGCGCTTTTAAGAAGTTACTGAAAAATATGAGTTTTTTTAGTAAAAGAGTTCGAGTGCATGATTCTTTGAAATTGCCTCTTGAAAATTTTATTGTTATAAAGTTTTATACGAGCTGCCGTTAATGAAAAGAATAAGGGCTTGCTAGAGATGAAAGTTGTTAACAATTTTTATTCGTGAAAGGAGATTGTGATTTAAACTTTGATAAGATTCGGTGAAAGGATAAAAAATATCATCTAAAATTGATAAAAATGATTAAATTCCAATGGACTAATTTTTTAAATTATAATATTGAATTGAATGTTATTAAAATACAGTTTTAAATGATGCTTCAGTAATACAAACTTTCTGTATCGAGTAAAAGTTGGAGTCTGAAAGTTGATTAATTAAAATGTTACAGCAGATAAAACTGAAGCATACAACAAATCGGTAGTTAAAATCTCGGTGCTGTTTGTATTTTTTCAGAAAGTGGAACGTTCTGTATTTCTACATATTTCTCTGTTATATCTTTTTTCCGCTATCGCAATTAATGTTTCGCTAGAAAGCAGTGATTCGTAAAGAAAAATCCGAGTAATTCATAAAGAAAATTCATCTGGATTTTCGTAAGAGAAAGGAATAATTTTAGATAAAACATGGAAAACCGATGTTTCTTTTGATCATCTCGTCGTGAGAGCGGATGTTTAATTCCTCATGCGATCGTTATTATTGCAACTGAATAAAGGCCGTTAGCAACTCGGGACCGCGTGTCGGCCATTAATAACCTTGCAGGACGAATGACCGGACGTTGCAAGTGGTCGCACCCCGGAAGTGGTTTTCGCGTCCGACCCACTGACTCTACCCGAGAGGGTAGAAAAAAGTCCTCCCATTGTTACACGGTTTAATTAATCGTTTCTGATTATCAAATTCTCTTCCTGCTATTTCAATCTGTTTGTAAACAGGAACCTGAATCTGTATTATTTAAAGGAAATTAATTTTTCTATTAAAAACTGTGATTTAATTATAAACTACCACTGCCAGCAGTTTGTAAAATATTCATTTTTGCCTATAAATATCTGATAATGCCAAATATATATACTAGGATAACAGAATAAAATAGATTTAATATAATCTTGCCTTTTAATATTAAGTATGTCAAGCAGGATACAAAATTCTTATGAAACAAAAAGAGGAGTAACAAATTATTAGATTTAATGTACAAAAACAAA